GGAGGCAAGGAGCTTCGCCTCTTTGTTCAGTCCTTGCACGTTGCCCCCAAGGAAGAGAGGAGCTTCCACAGCGGACTAACAACGATGCTCAAGACGCTTGATTGGCGGCAGAGCTACCCCAATCTGGTGCAGCTCTAGGTGGCGGTGGCTATGATTCCCCTCAGCACAGTGAAGTGTGAAAGGGGATTCACCCGGCAAAACGTGATTAAGACATGGCGGCGAGGGGAGATCAAGGACGTGAGGCTTGGGGACCTCATGTGTCTGTCCCTCATGCAGTACAAAAAAGCGGAAGCCTTTCAGCAATGCTCCCATCTGCATCCCAACCCCAGGCAACAACAAGAAGGGCAAGCATGAGGAGGAGGCAAGTAGATGTAGATGATGAGGAGCCAGAAGGAGATGCAGGAGGTAGTTCTAGTGATGAAGATGATGAAATGAGCAGCTAATATCATGTATGTAGTGTTTCCCTATTAGGCCTGCTAAATTTAATGAACATAGTGCTTAACCATACCATATTCTCCCGAAAAAACACCCCCCCATGATTGAGCAACCAATAGAAGCTTATGCGGGGTGGGTGCTATGGGCGACCTCGTTTCTACTACACCCCCCTTTTTTGGCTGATTCTCTATAAGACTGGGGGGGGGGGGGGTGATATAGTCGGTAAAAATATAATTTTTGCTTCCATTTAATACAGGGATGTGAGAATCACGAGGAATGATCGACTAAGGAATGAGGGTGATACAAATGTGAAACCTAGAATTGTGTACCCCTTAGTATCTAACCCGCTACAGCCTACACAGGCTAGATCATATAAGTTTGACACACCCCCATAGGTAAAGTGGGGGAGAACAAGGGTGATAAGACCAGTCAAGCAAAGCAAAGCAAGTCAAGGTGGATCACAACGTCACCACACATTCTGAGCACAAGTTCAAGGCCACAAGGCCAGCTTCACATGCAAGATCATATATAAAGGTAAACAAGCAAGTGAAGGTATAGAAGATCACAGTCCAAGCAAGGTCAAGAAGTGAGCAAGTGAGGCCAAGTAGGCACAAGACCTGGTAAAGATATCAGCACTGTTGGCCTGAGAAGGCCACGTAAGCAAGACGCAGCTGACCACGCTGCTGCAGCTGACCGCGCTCCTGCAGCTCACGAGCAAGGAAGTAGCGAAGAGCAATGTGCTTCGTTCTGTGCTCCAGTCTACGCTCCCGACACAAGGCCAGCATGGCCTTGTTGTCTACGTACAGAGCTGGAGGGGAACGAGGCGGCTCTCCTAGGTCAGTCAGCAGGTAGGTGAGCCAGCGTAGCTCCTGTGCAGCCATGGACCCCGCGTATATCTCAGCCTCACAGCTGGAGCCGAGAACAGAAGACGAGCAGGTAACCGCCACGAAACAGAGCTGGAACCAAGGCTGAAGGTGTAACCCTGTGACGACCGCTGCGTAGCCTGGTCGTCAGCCCAAAAAGCGTCTGCGTGACCTGTGAGGACCATTGAACGCCGCCCTCCAAGCACTAGCCCCATGCCCGACGTACTGCATAAGTAGCGCAACACCCTCTTTGCTGCAGCCATGTGCTCTGGTCGGTGTCTCCTAGGAGCAACATAGCCTGCCAAGATGCTAAGAGGGTATGCCAGGTCAGATCGAGTGCAGGTCATCAGGTACATGAGGCAGCCAACAAGCTCTGGGTATGGGCCACTCGGCTTTACGGACTCATCCGAAGGCAGAGCTGAGAGCGAGTAGCGAGTAGACAGAGGAGTGGCCTGAGGCGAGGAGTACGTGAAGTCGAAGCGCTGAAGGACCTGTTGCACCATGTGTGATTGAGTCAAAGTAATGGTGCGCTGTGCTCTGTCCCGGGTGATCTGCAAGCCAAGGTAGCTGCGCAGTTCACCCAGGTCTGTGCACGTGTGTCTCTTCTGCAGCTCGGACTTCACGTGGGGGAGTCCAGCAGTGTCAGCAGTGGCAAAGACCAAGTCGTCGACGTACACGAGGATGTAGAACAACGGCAGCAAAGTGTCGGTGCGCAGAAATACAGACGGGTCGGCAGTAGAAGGAGCAAACCCAAGAGCCGCAAGCGTAGTCCTCAGTGTGTCGTGCCACTCACAGGGCGCCTGGCGGAGACCGTAGACTGGCCGCCGGAGGCTCCATTGGGTACCAGGAGGAAACGACCCAGTGAAGCCAGATGGGCGGCGCAGCCAGATCTCCTCGTGCAAGCTGCCCTGCAAGAAAGCTATGCTGAAGTCAAGAGAGTGAAGCTCGTAGTCGTGCTGAGTGGCTATGTGCAGCAGCACCCGAAGAGTGGTCATCTTCGGAGTGGGAGAGAAGGTCTAAAAGTAGTCAACTCCCTGCCGCTGACTGAAGCCTCGAGCCACGTAACGCGCCTTGAAGACAGGCGGAGAATCCGGCGGCCGCTTCACCCTGAAAATCCACATGCCACTGACAATGTTTGCCCCAGGTGGGGGAACCTCGTCGACGTAGGTGCCTGTGGACTTCCAGGAAGCCATCTCCGCGTCCATGGCTGACTGCCACTGTGAGGATTAGGGACCCTCGATCGCCTCAACGTACGATCGAGGAGTGGGGATGTCTGGTGCATCCGGGTCTCCCTGAGGGGCAATCAGCATGGACACGAGATGAGGCAAAGCAGCAGCAAAACACTGGAACTCCTCCTGCCTGTCCTCAAGGACGTCCGTGCCAAGAGCACACTCACCCCCGACGGACGGAGGACAGACAGAATCAGACTCAGCAACGAGACTAGTGGCGTAGTCAAGACGATAGCGAGCAGCAAAGTTGACAAGCTCAGCAAATAGGGCAGATGCAGCAGTGGACGCAAAGGAAGGGTCAGCGACAACAGTAGCCAGTAGATGCGTGATAGTAGGACTGGCAGCACGAAGAGAGTCAGACGCCGGGTCAGCAAGAGCAGGAAGAGAGGACTCTGGAGGAGACGGCAACGGGACACGCAGCGGAGCAGTGGAAGGACGCAGTGCCATCTGGTGCGTGCCTGGGACCGCAGGAGGACGCGGACGTGGAACACGACGACTAGTGCGAGTAGCACGAACAGGCGACTCAAGGCGAGACGCAGGCTCACGACGCTCAGCAAGACCTCCAGTAGGACCAGTGTAGGGAGAAGGAGCAGGCAGTGGGGAGGCGGGCTGTAGCTGTGACTCTGACTGGAGAGGCGGTGGACACTCTAAAGAAGGAGCAAGACCAGCAGAAGGCGGGAGACCAAGAACCTGCTCAAGGAGCAGAACGAAGTACGGCCGCGGCCGCGCAACGCCTCCAGAACTTTCAGGTACAGCACCAGCACCCCCAGCTGCAGCACCAGCGCCAGTAGCACCCCCAACTGCAGCACCGCCAACTCCAGGTACCCTTAGAAGCACCAGTGCCAGCAACACCTCTAGCGCCAACACCCCCAGCATCTCCCGCTCCAGTTGGTCCATCGGAACACTCAACAGCCCCAGCTCCAGCACCGCCAGGAGCACCTGCTCCAGAAGCACCGCCAGCACCAGCACCGCCATCAGCTCCAGCACAAGGAGCACCCCCAGGCCCAGCAGCTCCAGTACCTCTAGTACGAGCACCTCTGGGACCCGTGGCACCAGCACCCTCAGCAGCAGCAGCACGTCCAGCTCCAGCAGCACGGCTCCAGCGCCGGGCAAACCACTCGCGCAGCTCCTGTGGAGAGGGTAGCTCCCGCCGAGACGAAGCACCCGAAGGACCCCCAGACCCAGCACCGTCAGGCTCCGCACCCCCAGGCTCAACACCCCCAGGCTCAGCACCCCAAGGCTCAGCACCCTCAGACCTCGCACCCGCAGGCTCAGCACCCCTAGCAGCACCAGAGTCAACAGCTACCTCGACAGGCTCGAGTGCGTCTACCTACAACACACCTGACGGGGCACGACCCTGAGGGGGGAGAGGGTCTACCGGGGGGGGACCTAGCGCAAGGAAGAGCGGCGGTGGGGGGAGGGGCGCAGTGCGGTAGGGGAAGAGACGGTAGTTAGGAACCGACTCGTCAAAGGTGACGTCATGGGAGGACAGAACACGGCGCGAGGTGGGGTGGTAAAATCGCCAACCAGGCGCGTCAGGGGGAAGCCAAGGAAGACGCAGGGAACAGCACGGGGGGATAGCTTGTCCGCAGACAAGTCGCGGACAAACGCCCGAGATCCCCAGACACGAAAGGCAGACGCATCGCAAACCTCGGGCCGGGCCCCACACGTCCATGTGAAGCGTCTGCAGAGGAGCCTCTGTCGGGGGAAACTGGGAGGAGTGAGGGGCAGCCCGAAGCCCCCCCTCGACAAAGGGGACACAGGAGGGTCCTGGCCCCAAAGGAAGGGGAGGGAGAGACCGGGGGAGACCAGAGACAAGGACATGGGAAGCCATGCCCCGAAGACGAGGCAAGGAGGGGTGGCCAAGACGGTGGTGCCACGGGAGAGTCTCGTGAGACAGGAGGCGACACGAGCAGGGGGCAGACTCAGGACCAGACCTGGACGCAGCAGCAAACACCTGGCCCGACGCAGCTACCTGGCCAGACGCAGGGACAGGAGGAGACTCAGTGGTCAGGGTGTAGAGACTTGACCCCGGCCGACGCGAAAACGTGGCCAGGTGTCGGCGTGTGCGGGCGTCCGAGCAGTGGCTCACCCGCTGACTCGCAGGAGTAAAGTGGTGAACCCCCCCATCCTGCAGGTCAGCACCACTCACCAAGTTCGTCGAGAACGAGGGGAGGTACAGACCAGACAGGGTGCCCGAGGGGGCAGCCGGACACAGGAGGACAGTGCAGAAGTGAGAGAGGACAGGGCCCCAGAGGGGTCAGCCAGGGAGACTTCAACCGGCCGACCAAGCGGCGTGAGTGTGGTGCGGTCTCGAAAGAAGGAGCGAGAAGCCCCTGAGTCAAGTGTGAAGGTGAGGGAGGCCGAGCCGAGCCGAGCAGTACCTGAGAGCGCAGCCTCACCAGTACCTGAGAGCGCAGACGCACGGGCACCTAGAGCAGCAGCCTCACAAGCACCTAGCGCAGCAATACCAATGCCGGGTCGGGCGGGGGAAACACCGGTAACAGTCACCCTCATCACTAATAGTCACAGCATACATGGCAGCAAGGATAGCATCGAAGTCAAGATCAAAGATAGCTTCGCCAGCCCTAGACAGCTCTCCCTAGCGGGAATCTCACTAGCCTCGGGGAACTGCTGACGCCAAGCGTCCGTCAGGCGGCCAAAGCAGCGCTGGGTGGGGTGGGCACCCCCACACTGCTCACCCGCGCGGTCGCCGGAACGAAGGACGTAGGTGCACGGACCAAAACCCCCACCACGCTGACGCTGCGCGTACCACTCACGGAGCTGCTGAGGCGGGGGGATGTCCCGAGAACGCTGCTGCTGCTGCTGCTGCTGCTGCTGCTGCTGGCGCTGACCACCACCAGAGCCGCTCCGCTGCAGGGCACCACCCCGACCAGCTCCACCCCCTCCGCCACCGCCGCCTCCACCTCCGCCACCACCGCCGCCTCCGCTCCCACCGCTGCCGCCGCCACCGCCTCCGCCTCCGCTGCCGCCACCACCCCACCACCCCCGCCACCACTCCCACCGCCACCCCCACTTCCTCCGCCGCCTCCACCGCCACCTCCACCGCCCCCGCCAGCTCCACCGCGCCCTTGCCCCCCTTGCCCTTGCCAGGTCGGCGTCTCCGCTAGGGGCAGACGCCGCGCCGACCGACTCAAGACCAAGCAGGTCGGCAGCAGCAGCAGAGGCAACAGAGGGCAGCAGGGGGGAAGGAGAACACCCCTCAAAGATGAGGGTGCGAGGGTCACCCCGAGAGGCTCCTACAGCGACGATGCTCTTCTCCGCCGCCAGGAGGCCTTCTCGAGGAGGTCAACAGTGAGAGTGGTGGGACAGACTGAGAGAAAGTGGTCCCTGACTACGCGAAGGGAGTCAGGAAGGCGTGTGACTATGTAATAGAGAGTGATGTACATGGGGGAGGGTTCTTGGCGCTGAACTCAGGAGGAAGTGCGGCGCGGTAGCGAGTGTCACTAGTGCGGAGGTGCGTAATGAGGTCGGCGACTGTGGGAAAGGCAGCAAGGTCAGGAAAGAGGTACGGTAGCATGAGGCGGCTCAGTGCAGCAGTGGCACGAGAAGAGTAGCGCGCAACGACAGCGTCGTACAAGGTCTGAGCACTCTTGTACTGACTAAAGTGCGCGCGCTCGGAGGTAGGCAGTGTGGCGACGCACAGCAAGACGTGCAGCAGCATCGCGGGTGGCCCACTGAGAGCGAACAGTGGGGTCAGCATCAGTAGCAGGGGCAGGAGAGGCGCCAGAGGTGAGGTCAAAGAGAGAAAGACCGTCCGCCCTATCGCACTGTAAAAACAGCTGCAGGTCGTCGACCCAGACCTCAAAGTCAATGGCTCGACCCTCAGCGTCAAAAGTGAGGACAGTAGGGGTAGCCATGACGACGATAGACTAGCAGTGCAAGCAGTAGGGGAAGGGCACGCAGTGACAGTGGGGCTGCGCTCACCGGACAGGGCAGGTCGGGCGGCTCGGTAGTAGGGCGACTCGGCTGCTGGGCGGCTCGGCGGCTGGGCGGCTCGGCGGCTCGGCGCTCGGCTGCTGGGCGGCTCGGCTGAACGGCGGCTCGGCTGTGTGGGCGGCCGGGCGGCTCTGCAGCTGGGCGGCTCGGCTCCTCCGGTACTCGGCGGCGCGGCGGTCGGCTGCTCGGGTGCACGCTGCAGGGTGGTGCTGCGGTCGGCGGCTCGGGTGGCGGGCAGGAGAGGAGAGTGGCAGGGCCGCAGCAGACGGGCGGCGGGGGCCCCAGGTGCAGGGCGGCGGGCCGCAGCAGAAGGGCGGCGGGGCCGGTAGAGTCGGGCGGCGGGGCCGCGAAAGCAGGTCGGCAGGGCCGCGAGGTGTAGGGCGGTGGGGCCGCGAAATGAAGGGCGGTGGGGCCGCGAGGTGTAGGGCGGCGGGGGCCGCTAAAGCAGGGCGGCGGGGCCGCGAAGTGTAGGGCGGCGGGGCCACTAAAGCAGGGCGGCGGGGCCGCTAAAGCAGGGCGACGGGGCGCTAAGGAAGGGCGGCGGGGCCGCTAGAGCAGGGCGGCGGGGCCGCGAAATGAAGGGCGGCGGGGCCGAGAAAGTAGGGCGGCGGGGCGGGCCGCGAGGTGTAGGGCGGTGGGGCCGCTAAAGCAGGGCGGCGGGGCCGCGAGGTGTAGGGCGGCGGGGCCGTTAAAGCAGGCGGCGGGGCCGCGAAGTGTAGGGCGGCGGGGCCGCTAAAGCAGGGCGGCGAGGCCCGTAAAGCAGGGCGGCGGGGCCGCGAGGTGTAGGGCGGCGGGGCCGCTAAAGCAGGGCGGCGGGGCCGGGGTAAAGCAGGGCGGCGAGGCCGCGAATCAGGGGCGGCGGGGCCGCGACAGTAGGGCGGCATGGCCGCTAGGGAGGCTCGTCGAGTTAACAGCCCGAGGCGCGACTCAGGATGAGCGCGCTTCGGGCAGTAAAAAAAAAAGGTCGAAGTGGTGGGCCCTAGGCGCAGTTCCACAGGGGAACCTGCTCGATACCATGAGAGAAGCTGAACGAGAATGGGAATGACTAAGTGAAAGTTGGGTACAAATACAAACCTAGAAAGCTGTACCCCATATGTGCTACCCCACTATAGCCTACAATAGCTATGTCATATATATCTGACATCAAGAGCTTTCCGACGAACCAAGTATCGCTTCAATCGGAGCACGAACAAGAAAGTTACGAACGTTCGAAGTTCGTATGCTTTTCATATTTGATTGTGGAGACTATGGAAGGTGTGGGTTGAATCCATAAGGGGTATAGACTTTTGGGGGTTGGGAAATTCGTCCCCATCACTGTAGATGCTGCCAAGTTGTTGGGAGAAGCCAACTAGGTTGGCAAGTGTGGCCAAGTTGGGTGAGGTGGATTGTGGAGGTTGGATAGTGACAAAGGTCAAAGTGGGTTGCCCATGGGGAAGGGAATTGTGTGGCATGGGGTTTCCTTGGTTGGGGACACTCTTGGGACTTCCATCTCATCCTCCTCATCCCTTCCACCTGGTTTAGTGCTACTCTAACTCTCTTGTGTAGTAATTGTGAACTTGTGTGAGACTCTGTGATTGAGTTAAGATTCCATGGCAGCATACCCCCTAGTGCGCCGAAATTGATAACTCAAGAAATACGTCACCTTTTCGTACGATTCAACTTGGGAATTGTAGCCACGGAGTAGAGCTATATCATATCTGAGTTAAGTGAAGTTTGACCGTGAACGTTTTTGTCGACGGCGTTTCTTGTGAGCGCGACTTTTCTGTCCAGAATTTCTAAGCCAACGATTTGAGATTTTAGGCACCTAATCTTCGTAGACTCCGTCCTTAGTCTTTA